AAACTCACCTCGTAAGCTAGCTGCTGAAACTCTACCCGGGAACTGTCTGCTGCAGTTCCGGTCTCTTCCAGTTACAATTCCCATAAACACACTCAATCAACTACTGATAACTATACTGAGGGTAAAATGACTATTTTATCCCTAGTAAAAATCAACTTCCAGTTGATCGAACTCGCTGAGTCAGGGTGCAGACTCGCCAAGTCCCTCCTTTACTAATTCTAACTTTAACTCACCGAGCCCCCTTTCCCACTCACTGATTCACTCTTAACTCACAACTCGAAGGGAAAACGGGGACTCGCGACTTGACTCGTCTAATCAATTCCAGGGCCTCTAACTCGTAGATCTGAGCCCTTGGGACCATCTGAACACGTAAAGTTGCTGACTTTACGTGTAACTACGATGGAATGAAGCCATTTCATTCAAACACTACTTTTCTCGGGAAAAATCATCCGACTCACCGAGTTGTAGAAGAACCCGTCAAGTCTAAGGCAATCTTCATCGGACTCGCTGAGTTTCTCATCTAACTCGTCGTTTCCAAGGCTATCTTCATATGACTCGCCGAGTCAAGCTTGTGACTCGCCGAGTCCATTCAGTCCCTTTTCCATACAGGCCTGATTTGAGCCATGCAACGACTCTAAGTCACAGATCCATGCTTCTAGGGCATGCTTATCACGTAAAGTTGCAAAGTTTACGTGCATGCATGGCTTTAAAGGCTTTAAATGCCAACCCTAAGTTCTTAATGGGGTTCCTAGCTCAAGAGGGACTTCAATCATGACCTTAACTGAAACTTTACACTTCTAGAATACAATAAGAATACATATATGAAGTTTTCACCCAAGGAGAGTCCATATCTCAAGTTTTTAATCATAAAAGGCTCCCAAAGAAGGCATAACAAGCATAACAGAGGTTATAATGGAGGAATGCACAAGGTCATAACTTCATTAGCGGAATAAAGAACATATGTAAGCTAACTCCTGAATCTTCCTTCCCTTCAATGGACATTCTTTCCTTTCCAAAGCTTCCAAGCTATCACAAACACACTCAAACTCAACAATAGGGCTAGGGTTTACAGGGGAAATGTTCTGAGAGTGATAGAGGCGAGGTTGGGGGCACATAAGTGTGTTTAAATAGGATGCAAACCCTTAAAATTAGGGCTCCATCCAGACAGGTGGACTCACTGAGTCCAACGTATGGACTCGTCGGGCTACAGACTCGTCGAGTACCCCTTTAGGAAAGAAAATACTTTATTTGAATTACATACCAGAAATGGGGGTTTACAAGTAACGACCGCTACGGTGGCTATAGTAGTAGCCGCCTGAGTAAAAACAGAGTATCGCTCATCAAATGTCTCAATCAACGTGGTCTTAATAGAACCAAACATCTCCAGAATAGCCTCGCGGATGGTTGCAGACACACCCTCGTGAATCATCATGCGGATCACATCATCGCTAGCTCTGCTGCTCTTGGGGTTGTGGCGTGTACCCACCATGATGTCTCTAAATTACAACATAAAGTAGTCAGAGACTTGATCCCTCGCACATACTTGCTCCTTAGTACCCTCAGGATTCTTACTTGGAATGATCATCGACCCGGGGTTTTTAGTAGTATAGGCCCAATACTTCCTTCCAACCTGTATCTGTGAACATCCCCAAGTCCTCCTCCTAGGATCCTAAGTCACAAGCACTCTACCTCATCCACATATCGACTACTCTCATAGTAGACCTATCATATGCTCGTTCCTGCTACGTACTTGCACTCAAGCAAATCACAGATAGCAAACCCCTAGATAAAGGTATCACAAATCAGGCCACTCTAGTCCTAAATCATGTAATACCTAGCCTACTCTCTAGCATACATATCATATTTCATAACAACTTATAACACACAAAGTAAGGGTATTTTGGAAAATCACCGTTCAGGCGCCAACTGATTGTACACACTGCTCCTTTTCTCGAAACCTCTTACACATTTTGAGAAAAATCTTTTCTTTCTACAAACTTTTCCCAAATCCCCAGTTTGAGTCCGAACATACCCGAAGGTGTATCGGAATCCCTCAAACCAAGGCATGATACCAACTTGTAACAACCAATCCAGGATCACCACTCTATCTCTATGCAGGTGTACAATCACGCCGGAGCCTTCCTGCAATCCTCGGAAGTACTTGAAACACATAACTCATAACACGGTAAGTATAAATGCTTAGTGAATTCCCCAAAATACCACATACACATCCCAAAACCAACATATGTCTACATAATGTCATCTGTCTAGGCCGACCTGACTCGCCGAGTGCACTCCCGTGACTCGCTAAGTCCAGTCGCATTTCTTTGAGTTTCACCCTAGGGTCCACTCAGCTCGTCGAGTTGCCCCTCAACTCGAAAAGTTAATACTGGGTCAAAGATATCAGGACAAACCCGCTACGACTTGTCATGTCGTCCAACAGACTCGGTGAGTCAACCCCATCGAATTCTCATTCAGTAATCTGAGGTTAGATCTATTACTTTAACTTATAGATCTAACCTCCTAACATCTAATAATCACGTAAAGGTTCAATCTTTATGTCCATGCATCACACATCTAGCTCTATTTTTGTCAAAATAACCCTAATAATGGTGTTTTAGGCTCAATTCCCTTATGTGATTGCATAAAGCTTGAATCTTGGGACTCTCTAGATCTCTCAAGGTCCAGATCTGTAGTCTAAGCCTCAAGGTGACTTCTTATACTTAATATCTTCAACTAAAAGAGGGTAAAGAAACCCTAATTTCATGAGATCTACTAATCATACAAAAATAGCTACATATTTATACCTTAAACAACAGCCTAGAATGGTATAAAAGTAGATCTGAGCTCCTCTAGTTGATTTAGCTTGAACAATCTCCTCCTTCCTTGCAAGAATGCACCAAGATGAAGAAAATGGCTCACTCTTTCTATCTAATCTCTTTGGATCGATTAGGGTCTCTTAAAGGGGAAGTGTGGCTGGAAATGAAGGCCATAAGGGCCTTTAAATATGTCACAAACCTGGACAATAAGTGTTTTCCTCAGCAGCGCTGACTCGGCGAGTCAGCTCCCCAACTCATCGAGTCTAGTCATTAAAACACGTCACCAGGCGCGATCCTACTAGACGAGTTGAGGCACCAACTCGTTGAGTCCCTCTTTTAAATTCCTTATATTTAAATAAAATAAAATACTGGATGTTACAAGTACTTACCAAATATCCCCATTTCTTCTAAAATCTTTACAAAACAAATCCCGAACTTATACTTTAAACCCCAAAATATCCAACTTAAGGCATTTGGGTTCCCAAAACCAACACCTTGGTATATAATTATTAATTTTAGGGCTACGATTTATTCATTAATTTTGTCTATTTATTTATTAAAGAGATTGCATTATCTGATGATGAAGAAGATCAAGAGGATCAAGAAAATGAATTGATAGAAAATGAGTTTGAATACTTTATTCAACAAAGTATCTCAAACCCAGAGAAGGATGAAAATGTCACACCACCGGTTGTGCCTGTAAGGGAAAGTGACACAACAATGCAACCTTCCATATCAACACCGAAACAGATGGATGCTCACATAGCAGAATTTCAGCGAACTGCAAGGAAGCCTCCCCAAATAGTTACTGTGACTACTAAACCTCAATTTGAAAGTGATACAAAAGAATCAGCCTACTCTTTACACCAAAGAAGCGAAAAAGAAGAGATCCAAGTCCAGTAGTGTTTATCACGGAGCCAGTTCAAAAGAAATCTACACTGATTGAGCCTGGTTCTATGGCTCAAAACATACAAAGCACATTCACTGAGACCTCTTCAGTGATTCAAGAAATACCAAACCCGTTCCCTGAGCCCATTCCTATAGATCAGGATTTTCAAAACACAATTGTTGTTGAAGAAGTCGTACCTTCAAAAGGAGCTCAAGCTTTAGGAAGATCATTTTAAACACCCGAGCTGGACATCTCCAAAGGCAAAAGCAAGTTGCCTAAATCTGATTTCGTTGATGTTGTTTAGCTTCATAAAAAAAGTCTTTGATCTAGGACAAAACTCTGCTGAAAATGATTTGGTAATTGGAAAGCAGGATATTCAAATCAGCGAGCTTGAGAAAGAGAACTCTGATAAAGATTCAAAGATTTCAGAACTTCAAACGAATCTTGATGGTTTAACTGCTCTATGCTTTGATATGAAACAACGCTTATTTTAGAAGTTTGGTGATGAATTTCAACCCTTGAGCGCTAAAGGAGAAAAGGTCATTACTTCTAGTTCAGGTCCCACTAATCCAAATTCACAATCTTCAAGTGAAAGAGCTTTATGACCTACTCCAGATGCTAACCTTGATTCATTCTTATCTTCTGGTTCTCTTTCTACTCAAGAAAGAAGAGAGAATCAAATTATGGTTGAGCAGCTGAAAGGGAAAATGATCCTGATGAAAAATTCAGATCAAAATGTTCCCGATGATCAACCTGAAATGTTCTTCAGGGAAACTGGGAAGAAGTTCACAGTCAAATATGGTGATCGTTTGGAAAATATCATGTGGGGATACGATGCTGACAAGAAGATGTGGATCGTGAAGCAAAAAAGTGGAGGAATTGAATATTATGAGTGGAAAGTCGACTTTATGTCCTGGAAAAAAGTTGATCTTTCAGAACTCATCTACGCACCTTTCCACAATCCAACCAATGATACCATGGCATGGTCCTTTAAGAATGTTCTTGAGATTAAAGTGAAAAATAACTTTGAAGACTTAAAGACTACTTCATTGTTTACTAAGAAGGCCAAGGGTGTCATTGATCCACGCAAACAAAACAATGGTGAATGTCATATGGCCAACCACAAAGCAAGCTAAAAGGATTCCTCTTCCCAAGAGCTTACTTGAAGGCAGTTTGGATACAATACAATTCTAGGTTTATGATGAGGCTACCGCAACGATGGTGATCAAGATGAAGAAAAAATAGTTTCATATTGTTGATCCCAAAGATTTGTTGAAGTTCGGAGAATATGATATTCACCCTTAATCAAACTTTCAGATTCTCGTAGAGAACAAACTATTTGAAGCTTCCGTGAAAGTTATCACTGGAATAGTAGCTACAATTATCGACAAGAAGCTGTGGTCAGGGGAAATTGACCAAGAAGATGTACATCTTGTAGAAAAACCTTGAAGAGAATAGAAAGCAATAAACCAAGGGGGAGATTGTTGGGCTATATTTAGTGGTTTATGCTTTGTTTTGAATGTGTTATGTTTTTCTAGATTTTGGACCGTAATCACCTAGTGACTTTAGTGGGCTTAGTGTGTTCTTGGTGGGCTTATTATTATGGGCTTTAGGTTATCGGTTTAGTATATATATGGTTTGTGTATAGTCGTTCAAACAGAATGTATTTTTGATGAATACTAGTGATTCACGGATGACGTGTGATTGAGTGTACTTGACAGTTTTCAATAGAATTGTGTGCATTCATGTTATTGAAATGTGTTATTGATATATCTAATTGATTGTTTCATATCATTGTTTGATTAAGATTCCACATTAAATCAAATGATTGCATTGCTACTTTGATTGATCCTAATTCAGGGACTTACATTCTCACACAGCAACCTGGAGAGTTATGAAAACTCAAGCTGAATACAACGCTCTTCTTGTTGAACACACAAATATTCCTCAGGTTGAAAAAGAGAAGTTGTTGAGTAACATCAAGGTGTTGAGAATAATAAAGGTTACTTTTCCACCAAATACTTTTCGTCTGGTGAGTGCATGTGTGATGGCAAAGGAAATCTAGGATTGGTTAAAGGATCTTTATTCAAGCAATGTCGATGTCGATTTAGAACACTCAGTTCAAACATTGCTTTTATCGGAGTTTGGTGCTTTTTCTCAAAAGACAGAAGAAAAACATGATCAAACATTCAATCGTTTTAATCATCTTTTGAGTAGGATGTTAAAACAAAAAATCAAGTATGAAATAATAGAGCAAAAAGTCACGTGTATGAATGGATTGATAACGGAATGGAAAGTAGTAGTATCCAAAGTGAAAGCTCATGAACATTTCAAGAGCAACACTTTGGAAAAACTTGTGGGAATTCTAAGATCCCATGAAGATGAAGTAGCGAAGGATGTGAAACTTTTGTCTAGAATGGATCATTGGCCTTGTTTGCAAAGGACAAAAAGGTAGTTGAAGAAGATTCCGAATCTGACCTATCGGATTATGATTTTACAAAAGAAGAATATGCTCTGTTAGTGTCTAATCCCAAGAAGTTTGCTAAAAAGAACTTTGGACATTTCAAGAACAGGAATAGGATGGGAAACTACAGTTCACACAAGCCAAAAGATGAGAGCTTCAAGAACTCTCAAAAGGATGAAGAAAAACAAGAGAAGATGTTGGTGGGAGATTATGATTGCAATTACTGCCATGAAAAGAATCATTTTGTTAAGGAGTGCATGTTGAGAAGGTTGACCGAGAAGGAGGCTGAGGAAGATGAATCCTACTATCTTCAAAAGATAGAGGATTTGAGAAAAAAGAGTATTGCTAACGTAAAGCCTTCTTTGATTGAGCAGGAAGGTAATGACGAAGATGGACGTGTTGAGGTATGGTCCACTGATTCGGAAGATGAGGCGGTTCGGAAACGAACTCACGGTGGGTGTTTTGTTGCAAAGTCTGAAGCCGAGGAGTATGAAGGAAGGCGTCTGATGGTTCAAAGTAGCGTCTCAGAATAGAGGGGTTACACAACTGATGGTGGCAACCCTATGAAAATTGTTTTCTTGCGAGGCCTATTTCTGAACAGGTGAGTGAATGCGCGAAGTTTATCAATAAGGTACACTCTATACTCTAATCTCTTAATATTCCAGTTACTTGTTACAAATCTGAATTAGATGATTTAAATTATATTTTTTTTCTAATTTTAGTGATAGTTTCAAAACAACACATCTAGGGAATTCTAACCTAAGTGATCAAATCAGTAGGGTAACAAATAAGAGTGAAGAGAGAAGGATGTGAATAGAGAAGTTAGAATTCGATCTTAATAAGTCAAAGGATGATGTCATTTATCTTAAGAGAGAAAATTTAGCACTTTTAAAACAAAGGAATATTTTCTGTTTGATTGCAAAGCGTTTATATTTTAATATTACTCAACTGAATCTTAATTGTGAAATAGGTAAAAGTATACACAAAATGATTTTGCCTTTCTTTAATTGAAAGAGGATGAAATCAATGCAAAGTGTTATAAGTGTGAATATGTTGTTTCCTCTAATGCGTTTCCGATTCGTACAAAGTTGGATTTGACAAAATAGTAGCATACATTTAGTCCAAAGAACATAAGAATATGTAAAAAATGTTGGATGATAAAAATAAAGAACAAATTAAATCTAATACTATGCAAAAATTTGACTTGTTGTGCACAAAATTAAGTTCAGAAAATACTTTTCATACTGAAAACGTTGCTGAATTTGATGAACACGACATGAGTGAAATTTATGTGGAGGATGAGATTGATTGTTCATCATTTGTACAAAATGAGTCTGAACTAAAAGAAAATTTTTATTTCTGAAAATTCAATTGAATATGTTCGTGTTGTTGAAAATAAAGGTTCAGACTATTTAAAAGAAAAAGTCACAGTTTTTCCGAAAGTAAAAACCGTTCCGAATCAAGTTTCGTAAAACCGAACTGAATAAAAACAAAACTTTAGAACTAATGTCCATAGTGGATAATAATAATGGAGAATGGTGCGATGAATTCTTTTGGTCGGGTCCTATTGACAATGCAGATGAAACCAAAGGTCTTTCTGAAATGACCTCATGGAAAAGAAAAGCGATATATGTTGCAGAACCATTGAATTGTGTAAACGCTTGTTATGATATAGTTGGTCCGAGTGGCACTAAAATGTTCTTAGTGAAACGTATTTTGAACAGTCCCATAAGTCAATTCGAAAAGAGAAACCTAGGTCTAATGTTCATTTATCTACTGAAGAAATTGTGGCTAAGAAAAGACAGATGAATGCAAGATATAGGAAAAACTTACAAGAAAGAAAGCTTTTTGGAAAAACAAGAATTCCGGTCAAAATTATGCTAATTCAAAACGATCTTCATTTCAAAATACGAATTCTACTTCTACTCTGAAACCACAATCAAAACCCTTTTCAAAATCTCCCATTTCAAATTCAAAGGTTACCAAACCTCAAGTTTCAAAACCTATTGAAAAACCTAAATCCGATTGTCCTCCCACAACTCATTTTTCAAAATTTGTTAACATCGAATCAAAAGATGCTAAGGGTAAATGTAAAATCATTTCGGAACCTGACATAAGTCTCAAGGAATACCAAGAAAATTTAAAAAGAGAGGCAAAGGAATTTGCGAAAATGTCGATAAACAATACAAAGAATCTAAACAAAGAAAGGCTCCTTTTGTTGAAATTAATGTTGGTAAAGATATAATTAAGGTTTTTAAAATCTTTAAAGGAGAAAAGAGTTTTTTGATAAAAATATCTTTTTGGGTTGGTAAGAATAATATTTTTCCTTTTTTTAAGAAATCCTCACTAGGACCTAAGCAGGTTTGGGTTCCTAAATCTCTCTGAATTTTGTAGGTAATACGTGACGAATAGTACGAATATGAATGGTACATCAACAGTGGATGTTTGCATCACATGAAAAAAGTAGAAAAGAGCTAAGAAATTCCAATCGTTGAAGGATGGTGGCAAAGTAAAGTTTGGAAACAATGCCACATGAGAAATTAAAGGCTAAGACATGATTACTAATGGAGAATTCTCCATTTGGAAGGTAGCTTATGCGGAAGGCCTGCAATATAACATAATTAGTGTCTCGCAACTAGTTGTAGGTACCAGGATGAAAGTGTCATTACATGATGAGGGTTTAGAGATTATAGAAAAGAAAACAAAAGTAGTGCTTCTGAAATCCAAAAGAAAGGGAGAGATATATCTTTTAAACTTAAAACTTATCAAAAGGAAGCCTTCCATTTACCTTCTTACGAAAGCATCTTCGAATGATAGTTGGCTTTGGCACCAAAGGCTCTCACATTTGAATTTCAAGGACATCAACATACTTGTGCTTGGCGATCTTGTACAAGGATTCCCTCTTCTGAAGTTTGAGAAGGAGCATCTGTGTGCATCTTGTGAGCTAGGAAAGTAGAGTTGGAAGAGTCACTCAACTATTATCAACACCAAAATCATTGAGCTATTGGAACTGTTACACATTGATCTTTGTGGCCCATATGCCATTGAGAGCATTGGCGGTAAAAATATATTCTGGTTATTATTGATGACTTGTCAAGACTCACGTAGGTTTTGTTTGTTAAATAAAATCAGATGCTACTTCAAAGTTGAAGGATTTCATCAAGCAGATAGAGCTTCAATTGTGAAAGCCTAATCGGAAAATTTGAAACGATAACGGTTCTGAATTCAAAAACCAAGAATTTGAAGAATTCTTAATTGACAAAGGAGTTTCACATAACTTCTTTTCTCCTTACACTCCTTAGTAGAATAGTGTCGTTGAATGACAAAATTGATATCTTTGCGAAGCTGTAAGGACTATGTTATCCTTTGCGAATCTTCGACTTTACTTTTGGGATGATGATATGGGAACTATTTGTTTCACTCAGAACCGATCTCTGATCAATAAAAGATTCTTAATAACGCATTATGAGAATCTGAATAAAAGAAAACCTAACGTTAAGTTCTTTCATATCTTTGGTTCTAGGTGTTTTATCTTCAATTCCAAAGAGAAAAGAAACAAATTTGATGTGAAAGCAGATGAGGGAATCTTCATAGGGTACTCTCTTACTTCAAAGGCATATAGAGTTCTGAACAAAAAGTAAAAAAATATTGAGGATACCTATTATGTCACTT